CACCATTTAATTTTGATATTAAGATTTTTCTCGGTCTTTTCATGTACAGCAGGATTCCTGTATCTGCTGGCATGTACAGTATTCTTTATTAACAAGTATTCATAGCACAGTCTCTGGCTCCATCTGGTGGCCTGTTATGGTGATACATGTGAAAATAATTTTTCTGGTTTTTTTTCTTACATATTTTCAGATTGTAGATAAGTGAAACTATGGATACTGAACTTGCAGATATGAGGGGCTACTGTATTCCCTTTCTGTCAGATCTTTAACTTTTGTGCTCATGAACATCTTTTTTTTTGGATTTTTTTTTTTTTTTGGATTTCCCAGGTGCTCCAGGACAGTCTTACTTCAGTGCATGGTGGGAAATTTAAATTGTTCCTATACAGAACTTTCTAGCATGATTGCGTTACAATATCACGTCCACTTTTTGCCTTTCTACGGTTTGATTGCCCTTCCAGATTTCTACTTGCAGTTATTTAGTTTAATTCTATGTTAATCAAGCTCTATTTACTGACTCAAGCCATACTCTGGTTTCTCAACATCATCTGCTTCCAATGATCCAAGATGTTTTTAATTTTCATTACTTGATAGTGATTTTATAATATTGGCATTTTTAACTACATTCCGTAGTTGCTCTTGTTGTTGTTGGCCAGCAAAAGGCAAAAGCAGACCAGAATTCGAAGGGACGAGAGTACAATATCCGCATCAAATATTCCGAAGCACTTTTTGGGTTTCCAGTTTTTTCAGAGGCACCTCACTTGGCCATTTTTACAAAATGTCCGCCTCTTAAAACACTGCCTTGCAGTTGCTTCCAGCCGGGTGAACCTTGGGGCTCATGGAAAAAAAATCAATGGTCATCAGTCCCCCTATGACTGACGGCTGCCTAGCCTTGCTCTGCACTAAGAAGTCTGTCTCCATTTCCTCTCCCAGGACCCTGGGCTAAAGTCAGCATGGTTTTTTTTTAAATCTGCAATTGAAGTCCATCGTGGATCAAAACTTATTGAGTTACATGGTTGAGGAGGACCTGCATTCGTTTTCTTTGCATAATTTTGTTGCAACTCCATCCTAGAGCTCTTCCCTGTCTCTTCGCAGTACTTAGAAAAGAACTTCCAGACAGCTTTGTGTGTTTGTCTGTGTTGAGGGAAGAGAATAAGCTGTGTGTGGCACTTCCGCTTCATAGAGGGGATGGGGCCCTTTTACAGTTCTCTGTTTCTCTAGGAGACACCTTTTTATCTTGAAATTACAGGTTTCAGCGTGGCTTTGGTGTGTTTTTTTCCCCTTCTGAAGTTAGTCTGTGTGCTTATACATCATTGCACAGCATGTATTCATTTTCTTTTCCAAAAATGCTACAGACATGGATGCAAAGATTCTTAACGTTCGCTGTTGCGGTGCTTTTAATATTAATTCAGGCAGATATTTAGGGAGCTAAGCATTGTTGGTTTTGCGTAGAGAACATAATAAGGACATGACATGTTGGGGAGGAATAATCAGAAGTAGAGAGGGGCATGAATCACCACCGGTTTGATGGTTTGCGCCAATGCGTTTTTGTTAAACTGCCGCAACAGGTGATCAGCAGTTTGGTGCCCCTGCCAGCAGGTGCCCATTCGGAAGCCATGCCCAGAGGAGGAGGTGGGTCAGGAAAGCCGGGACAGATACAAAAGGGAATCTTTATGGAATAAAGATGTTATGAATTAACCTCTGAGGTTACGAAGTTAATTACATAGCCTTATAGCAGTCAGGGAACTAATAAGAAAGAGAGAATTAAATGAAGAGAAGAGTAAATGTCAGATTTTAAATAGCTGACCATTCATTCATTCATTCATTCATTCATTCATTCATTCATTCATTCATTCATTCATTCATTCATTCATTCATTCATTCATTCAGGTTTTGCCTCTGCCTCTTTTCTTGAGAGAGTTCAACCATCATGTGGCTGGATTTGTTTGGGCCTCTGATGAAAGAGAAAGATCAGGAGGTGGGAGAGTTTATTGTCTGGGAACTGGGGAAGCTCCCTTGGAGATCATGCCAGCATGTGTTTAATCAGTAGCGATAACCATGGCTATCAGCCTGTTGGGTTCTTTTCCCCCATAGTTAGGGGGTGGTTCGAGGTGGAGAGCTCTGGAGGCCTTAGAGGACGAGGGAAATGAATGCGGAAAAGTAAAATGCAGTTATTGATTTTGTTTTGTTTACTGTTTCTCAAAAGCTAGACCTCCCCACGGATAACTGTTAAGGGTCATAACATTTAAATATCTACAAGGAACATGCATCTTCCTGTCCAAACCTATCTGCCTCTTCCTAAGCCACTGGAATGATCTCACGTCTCAGCTGTCCCAGACTCAGTGTCTCTTGCCTTGGCAATACATGAATGGAGGAGCTGCAGACATGCTTGCGATCACCCCTTTCCTCTTTCCCACAGGGAGGGTGATGGCAGCACAGGCAGGCCCTGAATCATCATCTCCTGGAAGAGCAGAAAGAGCAGTGATGAAGCTGCCTCAGGTAAGAGAAGGCTCCTTGGGGAGACCGTGAAGGTGAAGCCTTCCTCTCCGGATGCTTTATTTTGTTGCTTGACAGATGTTCAAGGGTCTTTTTCTGAATAGAGGACGATTCGTCTGTCTGTCTTTCAGAAGCTGCTGTCCTTTGATGAGGTGGCTGTGTATTTCACTGAGAGAGAGTGGGACCTCCTTGACGCGGGTCAAAGAGCTCTGTACAAGGACGTCATGCTGGAAAATTATGGGATGGTAACCTCTCTGGGTAAGTTTGCCCTCTCCTCGACTGATACATACCAAAGGTTGGAATTCCTTTTCTAGCCCATCTCCTTTCTAGGGAAACCATTTGAAGGATCTCCTCCAGTGGCAAGGGTTTCTACTGGCACTATTCCTGTGCCTTGGGCTATCTGTAGAGAAATTTGGAATGAATTCTCCAGCGACCCGAAGTGTGTTTCCAATCACGTGCTCATCTCAAGCCGCAATCTCTCTCCTTTGACCTAATTTAGCTAAGGCAGGGTCAGTGCAGTCTTCCTGCAAGACAGTAGGGGGGGAGTCGAAGGACAACAGTACAAAAAATAGGGTTTCCAGTCAAGGTCAACCCGAACAGAGTCCCAGAGCAATCTGAAATTGAACTGGTAGGTCCATTGCTTAAAACCACCAGACGTGGTACAGTGGAGTCTTGACTTGTGTTCGGCTCCACTTATGAACTTTTTGACTTACAGACTTCTCCGGCCGCAAAGTTTCACTTCGACTTGCGGCCGGAGAATCGATCTACAGACCAGAATGGTGAGGTGGGGAATGCGCCAAATTCAAATTTGGCACTTTCCCCGCCTCCCACTTCCTGTCCGTAGGCTGCAGGTCTAAGCCCCAAAAGCCCAAAGCTGACAGTGGGTGCAGGGCGGCTTTCGGCTTCCAAAGCTGAGAGTGAGGGGAGGCGGGAAAAGCCGAACGCTGCTCTGCGCCCACTGTCTGCTTTGGGCTTTCAGGGCTTAGAAAGCTGGACCCACTGGCCTCTTGTCTCCTGTCGCTGGTGCCGAAAGCTGCTCCGCCTGAAAGCCGTTCTGCACCCGTTGCCAGCTTTTGGGGCTTAGAAAGGTGCACCCACTGGCCTCTTGTCTCCTGTTCCCAGTGCCCTCTGCCTCCCGTCCCCGCGGGGGCGGGAGGCAGCGGACAGTGGGAACAGA